CGTAATAGAAGCTGGCGTCTGCTAAATCATCACCATTTTGGGCTTTTGTTGTGCTAAATACAGCAAATTGAAATCGGAAAATTCCTACTTTTCATACGATCAGTTAATTATGGTCATTGAAAATTGTTAATCGATAAGCAAATTCCCATGCGGGAACTTGCAGCGCTCTCACTGTCATCTTACTGAAACCCAGCATACACTCGTACCTCTTGCACTTCGTCCTCAGGTTCCTCATAGGCTTCGTTGTCACGTGATTCCATCATATCTGTCATAACAATGGTCATTGTCCCGTTCTGTGGCTGTGACTTTGGCGCCCTTGGGTTCGTGTAGAATGATGGTTGCTTCTTTTCTGTTTTACTGGGCCTCGGCTTCAAAGCTAAACTGTAGTACAAACAAGAATCACGGTACAGTAACTGGCATCTTTGTAGACAGAAAAGTCTACTAAAAATAGTAGGGAAAATGCTCTCATTTTCTGGAATGAAATCTGAGAAAGAAAGCTGTTGTCTGAATTTGTAGTCCTTTTCTACAGATATAAACATACATTTGTTGGTTTCTGAGATAGATTGACTTCCATGATCATCTTTTTTTAAGAATAATACAGTGGAACACAGACACGTGGAAACTGATTTAGGGAAGAAGCTGACCACAGAAAAAAATTCTCTTCCTTTCCAGCATTCTATACAGGTTGCTTTTTTAGCTTTGAAAGCATTTTATTTATTGGAGAATATGTTTTGTAATGTCATAAAACATAAAATACTTACCTTCTACGTATTCGGCGATAGCAACACAAAGCCAATAGGATAAAGAAGACAAGTAAGATTATCAAAACCCACATCAAAGGCCCTGGAAAACAATGAATGGCGTAAATAATGGTCATCATTTACCTCTTCCAACATAGCACGTTCGTAAAAGCTTTTTCGATAAAGGTTGTCCTACAAAGGTGCAAAAATGTACGCGACAAAGCTGCAAGGAGTTATGGGTAGTGTTAGTTTAACGCTGGTTGATCGAAATTTTCATTGTTTCAGTCTGATAGAGGGAAAGGAATTAATAGTTTCATTCTCCGTTTCGCTTTCCCTGGCATTGAAACGTCATGGACGTTGATGAATCAACGGTAAACTGACATCAACCATAGCACCTTTCGCCATGGTCGCGTGCACCTTAAGGCTTCAGTGGTACGAACTTTTGCGAACGAGGTAACACTACACAAGAAAAAAAAAAATGGTTACAGAGAGGAATAAAAACATGACTTACACCACCAATAATGGCGAATAGCAATTGAATCTTGTGTGATTATATTCTGGGCTGCAAAGCAAAATATAAGAAAGGTATAAAATATGAGTAAATATTTTTATGCTATTGTTACATGTCGCCGATGGTTTCAAATCTTATTTCAAAGACTTTTATACTGTATGTTCACTTTATATCAGTGATAACTGATTTAACAGTCTCGACGTTTTGCTCTCAGCATTCACATTCCCTGCACCTTAAATGTTAGTATATATTTACTAAGCAAGGGAGGACACATTAAGGTTTCTCGTACCAGGTCAATATTTGTCTTCAAATATTTTATGTACACTACGTTTTCTTTCGTCACATCATAGTTCATTGAATAGTTTATTTTCTTAGATTTATTTTGGTCGTGTTATGCTCTTCGCTTTTTGCTACGAAAACCTGTTTTTAAAGAGATTATCCAAATGATAATTGACTGATATTTACCGGTGACATTCCCAATGCCAAAGACTCCAATCCTCAAACAAATCTTCGAATCCCAAGACACAGGCTTAAATCGTAGATAACGAACCACTAAATGATATGGAAGCTCACAGCATGATATAGTGCTGCCATCTTTGTTACCGTCAAAAATCTGTATCAGGCGAAAAAAGTAACAAAAACACCATCATTGATTTATTATCGATTTTTAATATCTGGTTCCTCTGTAATTTTTGTTTTGAAGCATCTAACTCCATGCAAACATCTAAGTTAATTTATTCTTTTGGTAACAAATAAGAAAAAATATTTCCTAAATAAGAGACAAAATTCACTGGGAATTCAAGTGGCCCCAAGCCCCTTAGGATTTCCAGAACTGCCATGCGTCAAAGTGTAATATTGTGGCGCAACTACACACATAGCTGTGTCTGAATTGTTGCCAGTCGTCTTCATACAACTTCATACAACGCGCAGCTCGTCGCGAGGTTCGAGCGCAGGGTGAGATGGGCATCACCCCTTGTTCCCAACCTCGCACTTCTCATCTGTGCCGTGCCAGACGCTGTATAGACACCACTGGGGAAGACTCAGCAGCTGCGTTAATAAAGTCATGTTCTATTGGGATAAACCGTTTCAACCACGATACGGTCCACGTTTCTCAATACAACACTTTTCTTACCGCTTTCGATTGAAATGCGATCATGTCTGGGATTAGTCCTTACGCGGGCTACAATCACGCCACATAATCACGCAAGTGCTTTTTCAAACGTTTCAACCTGGTTGAGGCCGGTTGAAAACGTTTATCAGCCAAACCAACCGAGAACGGTTTTCCCCAATAGGACACGAAAACACTCAACGAACCCCGGCAACGAACCAGACCAGAAACGGTTGATCCCACTGACACTACCTAAGTGTTGTTATGTTGTAAATTTGAAAAGATATCTCCAAATTCACTCACATTTAAGCCTGGTGTTAAAAGTTCTAGATTTTGAAGGATACAATATGTCTATACCTTTAAATCTTTGTCGAAATAATACCCGTTGTAGGTTTCTCCATCAGAGCTGTATTGCAGTGTATACTCTTTTACCCAGGCGGTCACATTAGTTCCATTCACAACCTGAGGCGGATCGTTCATTCCTTGTGTCGCAATATGAGTCACCCGTGAAGTATAGACTGATGAGAAGAAAAGCTCATTGCGATCAGTGAAGTAGTGTATTTACTGTTAGCTAACCCGTTAGACCCAATTCAGAAAGTCCGTCCGTCCGTCCGTCTCTCCGTCCCTTCATCCGTCTGTCCGTCCGTCCATTCGTCAGGCAGTCAGTCAGTTAACCCGTCAGTTGGTCGGTGGTCCATCGATCGGTAATTGTGAGTTAAACAACTGATCCATTAATCCGTTAATCCAACACACACTGACTGCTTAATGAGTCAGTCAACGATCGAGGCAGTTGCACACTACATCCGAGTTTGTACACGGGCCATCTTAAGCATTGACCTCTTCAGATATCTTAGCTGACCTGAGGAAACAGGAAGAAAACTACCATACAACATGGTATATATTTGGACTCTGACTAACTCGCAGAAAATGCTAATTCTGGTGAAGGAACCGTGACAATTCAGTAGTTACACGTGGCCTATAACTACGGAATACTGCTTTTCTCTATCGCACTCTCTTACAAAACCTGCAACTGCAACGATATCTATGGAGTTTGGATAAGTATTGTACTCACTCAAATCTATCTGAAGGTACTGATCAGAGTCTGACTCCCCGGCGCACCAGGCGGTACCCTGGGAACCAGTGGGTCCTTGGTTTAGTCTTCCTCGGCCTGGGCCGTGATTGGTGTCTAGTGTTGATGACGCTTTCATGGCTTCATCCGGGATATGACCATCTTCAATTCCAAGCTCATTTAACTTGGCTATGACGATAAAAGGAAAGAGTAAATTTTGTTCCNAAATATTCATAAGCTAGCACGGATCTACTGTCTACCTCTGATAAGATCCCACGGAATTTGGAATTTTCCTAATGCTATTACTTTGAAAATTACGTAAATTACAGTTAAATAAGCGAGCCTAGTTTATACGAGTTCATCAAATATTTGTTTAATTAAGTTGCAACGCGTAAGATGCCGAAAAAAGGAACTTGAAGGAGCTCAGTTGCGATATTTTGAATTATTTTAGCCATGAACAAAATTACCTTTACATTGAAGGAAACACGAAAATAATAGTTTACTAAGATAGAAAAACACCAAAACGATGAAAATAAACCATAAAGAAACAAGGATGTTTGAGGATAGAGAAGATTGACACGGACTGCAAACGACTAACTTGAAAAATTTAGGTTAAACTTTTCAAGATATGCAAACTGTGAGGTAGCTCCTTTAAGGCTGGTTTGCACTTGCGCATAAGCATAAGCATTACCCGACATAATACGTGGACGCAGTAACATCTTGTTAGGAAAATTACTTAAAGGATTCTTACTGTATCTGCATATTTTGTTTATTCTTATGATTGTTTATGTTTACGCTTATGCTTGTGCGCTATAGTGAAAACCAGTTCATAAAACACGTGCTATAGAACGTGCGTGCTTTCACATGACGCCACGGCAGCCATATTGGAGTTCCAGAATAATGAAATGGCAGCCATGCTGGTGTACCAAACCAATCCTGTGGGATGTAAACACTTTCTTTTTTTCCAATGAATTTGCATGGCTGCTGGCCACGTGAGTAAAAACGCTCTATATGCACATAGTGCATACTTCAATTCAATCTTTTTAAAGTATAACTACCATAGAGAAAAATCTCTCATACTAACGGACACCTCGCACGATGTCCTCAAACGATCACCTTCCGATAGCGGACTCGTCTAATAAGCGGGCGCTTGCTCTCTGTCCAGCCACTTATAAACACTACATCTTTTTAACTTCCTGTAAGCGCTTTTGTACTAAAAACTCATGAAAAGTTACGATTCCACTCTACCGTTTTCGCAGCGTGTTCCCTTCAACACTAACGGGTTTAAGAAACCAGGACGTGACAACGAAGACAACGTCGATTAAGAAAATGATTTTATACTTTACCTACGAATCTCGCGATACTCTAAAGTCATTTTCCTTTGTTTTTCAGTGTCAAAACTATCCCGAAACTGAATCTGGGACAGGGCGAAACATTTGAAAGACATCAACGAAATTAGCCGTCGTGGTTCATGTTCCCCGAATAACGGCAGAATTTGATCATTTCACGTTCTTGTTTTGCTGAGGACGGCAGCGAAATGTACCAAGAATTCTAACGCACGTGCACAGCCATTGCTCTGCTCATTAAACCTCCTGTTTAGCAATGTTCCCGTTGCCGTTGCCGTCGTGGTTTTCTTAAACTCGCCAGTTACAAAAACACTCCAAACGCTGAGGTTCGCTGATGCCAAAAACACCATCATTTGCGCATGTGCCATGAATGACGTTAGCGTTTCTGAAAAGCTCCGTTTTCGCCATCCACACTAATACAACGGTGTTCCTTTTCTTAAATCTCTCCATTCTCGGCATCTCATCGTCTTCATTCGATGAAGGAAATGAAAATTTTCGATGGTTTTAGTGTCGCGATGGGCGAAAACGTAATACAAAAACACACTAGGGTGTAAAAAGAATGCGAGTTTTTATCAATCAGAAAACACTCGAAAACCTCTGTGTCACACGCCTGAAGTAAGCTATAGAAGTGATGTTTCCTTCTCAAAACTTCCCTTAGAGGAAGACTTTTCATCAAAATATTAATCTGCAAGAAATGTGTCGTTTAGGTGGCGGCCAATTAAATCTATATTAGCGGTCAACTGAGAAACGTCCGAAAACAAATCGTCCGTTTGGGAGATCCATGAGTTGCTCTGAGACTTTCCGGATCCCGGGCATTTTCGGTCCTAGTCGGCAAGGAAATTTTAAATATAGGGTGGCTGCTAAACAGAACAAAGAACAACGCATTCATCGCAGGTAATTGGATGCGAGAGCGCCTTTTCAACTGATGAGCCGTCTCGAAGTTGATGTAACCCTAGAATTAATCGTCCATTATTTAATGATCCATAATCTATCGCACTACCGATTCGTAAAGATGTTCGGACCTCCCGGTGTTGCGTCTGCCCTGGGAACTCACGGATGCCCCCCTGTAAGGTTGGTTTTGAGAGCTGACAGAGGCTCCTCGGGTGGGCCCACTACCGTTCTGGCTTGGAAGAGCGGCGGGCGATTCATCTTCGTCTTCGTCTGCGACTGAGAAGTGAGTGACGCCGTGTTTGTTGTCGAAACCATCATCAGTGAAGTGGGCAACGACCTAGTAAACCAAATAAATAAGTCATGCGTGTGCGTCAGATGATATGAATCACAGAGAAAGGATATAGGTATCTTGTAGATGACACATAACTAGAACGTGCTAGGAAAAGCATGAAACCCCTCAGGCACATGAAGGAACGCAAATACAGTTGTACAAGTAAGTGGCCTGTTTTTCTCCATCCTAATTCCCAGTTCCATGGCGGATGACCTACGACAACCTTATAGCTGTTCAAAATTTTCTCTGGAGGGTTTAGCACTGCAAATACTTTACCAAAGACTTATAGCCACTTTCTGCTCTTGACACGTCGCGCAAAGTTTTAGACCTTGTTATTATGAAGGAAAGGAGCCAAATTGAGAGCATGATAAGATTTGTTTACTTTTCTTGCAATCAGCCTCTCAATGGTCACATAATGTTTTTCTTTAAGTCTGTGAAAAGTCAGAATTATACATATCTTTCTTCAATTGTGGTACCTTTGCCTCGTAATAGAAGCTGGCGTCTGCTAAATCATCACCATTTTGGGCTTTTGTTGTGCTAAATACAGCAAATTGAAATCGGAAAATTCCTACTTTTCATACGATCAGTTAATTATGGTCATTGAAAATTGTTAATCGATAAGCAAATTCCCATGCGGGAACTTGCAGCGCTCTCACTGTCATCTTACTGAAACCCAGCATACACTCGTACCTCTTGCACTTCGTCCTCAGGTTCCTCATAGGCTTCGTTGTCACGTGATTCCATCATATCTGTCATAACAATGGTCATTGTCCCGTTCTGTGGCTGTGACTTTGGCGCCCTTGGGTTCGTGTAGAATGATGGTTGCTTCTTTTCTGTTTTACTGGGCCTCGGCTTCAAAGCTAAACTGTAGTACAAACAAGAATCACGGTACAGTAACTGGCATCTTTGTAGACAGAAAAGTCTACTAAAAATAGTAGGGAAAATGCTCTCATTTTCTGGAATGAAATCTGAGAAAGAAAGCTGTTGTCTGAATTTGTAGTCCTTTTCTACAGATATAAACATACATTTGTTGGTTTCTGAGATAGATTGACTTCCATGATCATCTTTTTTTAAGAATAATACAGTGGAACACAGACACGTGGAAACTGATTTAGGGAAGAAGCTGACCACAGAAAAAAATTCTCTTCCTTTCCAGCATTCTATACAGGTTGCTTTTTTAGCTTTGAAAGCATTTTATTTATTGGAGAATATGTTTTGTAATGTCATAAAACATAAAATACTTACCTTCTACGTATTCGGCGATAGCAACACAAAGCCAATAGGATAAAGAAGACAAGTAAGATTATCAAAACCCACATCAAAGGCCCTGGAAAACAATGAATGGCGTAAATAATGGTCATCATTTACCTCTTCCAACATAGCACGTTCGTAAAAGCTTTTTCGATAAAGGTTGTCCTACAAAGGTGCAAAAATGTACGCGACAAAGCTGCAAGGAGTTATGGGTAGTGTTAGTTTAACGCTGGTTGATCGAAATTTTCATTGTTTCAGTCTGATAGAGGGAAAGGAATTAATAGTTTCATTCTCCGTTTCGCTTTCCCTGGCATTGAAACGTCATGGACGTTGATGAATCAACGGTAAACTGACATCAACCATAGCACCTTTCGCCATGGTCGCGTGCACCTTAAGGCTTCAGTGGTACGAACTTTTGCGAACGAGGTAACACTACACAAGAAAAAAAAAAATGGTTACAGAGAGGAATAAAAACATGACTTACACCACCAATAATGGCGAATAGCAATTGAATCTTGTGTGATTATATTCTGGGCTGCAAAGCAAAATATAAGAAAGGTATAAAATATGAGTAAATATTTTTATGCTATTGTTACATGTCGCCGATGGTTTCAAATCTTATTTCAAAGACTTTTATACTGTATGTTCACTTTATATCAGTGATAACTGATTTAACAGTCTCGACGTTTTGCTCTCAGCATTCACATTCCCTGCACCTTAAATGTTAGTATATATTTACTAAGCAAGGGAGGACACATTAAGGTTTCTCGTACCAGGTCAATATTTGTCTTCAAATATTTTATGTACACTACGTTTTCTTTCGTCACATCATAGTTCATTGAATAGTTTATTTTCTTAGATTTATTTTGGTCGTGTTATGCTCTTCGCTTTTTGCTACGAAAACCTGTTTTTAAAGAGATTATCCAAATGATAATTGACTGATATTTACCGGTGACATTCCCAATGCCAAAGACTCCAATCCTCAAACAAATCTTCGAATCCCAAGACACAGGCTTAAATCGTAGATAACGAACCACTAAATGATATGGAAGCTCACAGCATGATATAGTGCTGCCATCTTTGTTACCGTCAAAAATCTGTATCAGGCGAAAAAAGTAACAAAAACACCATCATTGATTTATTATCGATTTTTAATATCTGGTTCCTCTGTAATTTTTGTTTTGAAGCATCTAACTCCATGCAAACATCTAAGTTAATTTATTCTTTTGGTAACAAATAAGAAAAAATATTTCCTAAATAAGAGACAAAATTCACTGGGAATTCAAGTGGCCCCAAGCCCCTTAGGATTTCCAGAACTGCCATGCGTCAAAGTGTAATATTGTGGCGCAACTACACACATAGCTGTGTCTGAATTGTTGCCAGTCGTCTTCATACAACTTCATACAACGCGCAGCTCGTCGCGAGGTTCGAGCGCAGGGTGAGATGGGCATCACCCCTTGTTCCCAACCTCGCACTTCTCATCTGTGCCGTGCCAGACGCTGTATAGACACCACTGGGGAAGACTCAGCAGCTGCGTTAATAAAGTCATGTTCTATTGGGATAAACCGTTTCAACCACGATACGGTCCACGTTTCTCAATACAACACTTTTCTTACCGCTTTCGATTGAAATGCGATCATGTCTGGGATTAGTCCTTACGCGGGCTACAATCACGCCACATAATCACGCAAGTGCTTTTTCAAACGTTTCAACCTGGTTGAGGCCGGTTGAAAACGTTTATCAGCCAAACCAACCGAGAACGGTTTTCCCCAATAGGACACGAAAACACTCAACGAACCCCGGCAACGAACCAGACCAGAAACGGTTGATCCCACTGACACTACCTAAGTGTTGTTATGTTGTAAATTTGAAAAGATATCTCCAAATTCACTCACATTTAAGCCTGGTGTTAAAAGTTATAGATTTTGAAGGATACAATATGTCTATACCTTTAAATCTTTGTCGAAATAATACCCGTTGTAGGTTTCTCCATCAGAGCTGTATTGCAGTGTATACTCTTTTACCCAGGCGGTCACATTAGTTCCATTCACAACCTGAGGCGGATCGTTCATTCCTTGTGTCGCAATATGAGTCACCCGTGAAGTATAGACTGATGAGAAGAAAAGCTCATTGCGATCAGTGAAGTAGTGTATTTACTGTTAGCTAACCCGTTAGACCCAATTCAGAAAGTCCGTCCGTCCGTCCGTCTCTCCGTCCCTTCATCCGTCTGTCCGTCCGTCCATTCGTCAGGCAGTCAGTCAGTTAACCCGTCAGTTGGTCGGTGGTCCATCGATCGGTAATTGTGAGTTAAACAACTGATCCATTAATCCGTTAATCCAACACACACTGACTGCTTAATGAGTCAGTCAACGATCGAGGCAGTTGCACACTACATCCGAGTTTGTACACGGGCCATCTTAAGCATTGACCTCTTCAGATATCTTAGCTGACCTGAGGAAACAGGAAGAAAACTACCATACAACATGGTATATATTTGGACTCTGACTAACTCGCAGAAAATGCTAATTCTGGTGAAGGAACCGTGACAATTCAGTAGTTACACGTGGCCTATAACTACGGAATACTGCTTTTCTCTATCGCACTCTCTTACAAAACCTGCAACTGCAACGATATCTATGGAGTTTGGATAAGTATTGTACTCACTCAAATCTATCTGAAGGTACTGATCAGAGTCTGACTCCCCGGCGCACCAGGCGGTACCCTGGGAACCAGTGGGTCCTTGGTTTAGTCTTCCTCGGCCTGGGCCGTGATTGGTGTCTAGTGTTGATGACGCTTTCATGGCTTCATCCGGGATATGACCATCTTCAATTCCAAGCTCATTTAACTTGGCTATGACGATAAAAGGAAAGAGTAAATTTTGTTCCACCGCTGCGAAACGTACGCCATATAAATATGTTACTTAAATATAAATATATTGCTTTTTGTTATGCGAACAAATAATTCAATGTTTTATATAAGTAAGTAAGTAAGTAACAACTTTATTTACAGAGGGTAACACATAACAATAAAAAAAAAAAACTGACGAACCAGTGGCCCTCTATCGTAAGTTAGAAATATTATTTTTTGTTATGCGAACAAATGATTCAATTTTTGCACTCGATGTGACAACAAATTGAAATTCAATTAATTAGTACGTTTACTTGACAGAAGAGAAATTAACATATAACATATAACTTGGCAAAAAGCTTTAGGTTATTCTGAACAGGCGCGAGTCAATGATAAAAGTAAACACGACATAAAACGGCTGTACACCACTTTCGTCTTATTAAAAGTATCTGTCTTTGAAACGCTTTGCATGACCTCATGAAATAATTACTCATCATTATGCCAAAACTCATTATTATGCCAGACGCTCTTACATATTTTCAGTAACAAATTTAAGTACAAACTCCCAGTTTTGTTTAAGTAACATTGATGTACTTTAACTCGAATAAGTTAGAAAAACAAATAAAGAGGTCCATATGGTGTGTATCATTTAGCTGAATGCACTTAAAAACTATCAATATCACTTGTACTTGAAAATTCGTGCGTTAGTCAAGCGTTGAAACCAACAAAGTTTATGTCTCGATGAAAATATAGATTAGAGTAAAACAGTGCCTAACAGTAGCTTAACTATTAACAAGCCTGTCGTATTGAGTATGGACTGTCCGTAAGCTACTTAAGAAGTAAAGAAATTCTGGTTAGCATTATAGCAAACGAGGGTTAACTTACCGACGTTGCAATCACACGTCCAAACAACTTCGATACAGATATTGAGGGCTAGGATATAAACCAAAAGAAATATTTGTGGATATCTTTGTGAATTCATCGTTAGAATAACGCGCGTAGAGGGATTTGGCTTGAAGTGAAACTCTCAAGGTAGACAGAATCATGCGGTAAAAAGTTCTAAAGAATGTTCGATATTGGAAACATGGTAATAGCTTTTGTTGTGTGGCCAACGCGGCTATAAAGAAAAAATGTCGAATTGTAAATTACATGTTATGCTTGAGTTCATTTTACAGTTCACGTCATTCGTAAACTCATCAACTCCCTAACAACAACGTATACGTAATCGAGACTAGAAACGTCTACGAGATAAAATCGTTTGTCCAACACGTGTTGTCCAGAGTGGTTTTACACCAAAACTGCATTCTCGTACCATCTCGTCATACCTAAAAGCTCAGTTCTCACGTTTTAAAATTTTTGCCTTTGTTGTACGCTCAAAAGACAAAGGTCAAAAGACAAGTTGATTAAACCATAATCGCAGAGCAAATATCTCTGTTTTTAAAGGTGAAGTTTCACGTGACAGGGAAATGCATTTCAAAGGAGAAAGCTTCTTACACAACACAGCGTGGGTACACAGATATGTTTCATGACACGTTGCGTTTCATCACTCGGGTCCTTTAGGCAAGGTTTTAACACTAAATCAACCCCCCTGGTCTCGAACAACAAAGCAACATAAATGAATAATAGGGTATGATCATGAAACCCTATTTAATTTGGATGTAGGAGGGGTAGGAGGGGACGGGATATGGCACAAGATGTATGACTGCGCTGATTACGAACTGACCTCACTCAAAAATAATTAAGGTCAAACTAATGGCTAAACCTCGTGTCTTTTCAAAAATTATTGGGGGACAATTGGTGTAAATTGTTTGGCCCTTTTGTGCACTTCTTCCCAGGCTGATGAACTGAAAAAAATAATAAATAAATAACTAAGGACATAAAAAGCATCACCCGGGACCCAGCGGTACCGGTTATTTTGCTGCTACTGATTTCTCAGTACATTTTATTCAATGTACGGTAAGAATAATTATTCAATAAATGTCCTCCATACAGTACCTTACTTTTATGCTGTACAAAGTGGTTCTTCGATGATATAAGTTTGTGGATGAGACCCTTGTTTGTGACCATTCAAAACAACGCTTTTGAGCAGTACTTTCATGTGGTACTATTTATTGTGCTGTTAAATGTTGGTTTCAACCTACAGTCTTACAAACACACATGCATGCACATATAGATTTTATTTCAGTGTCTAAAAGATTTATCCTTGAACGCTGATTGTGAACACAGTAGAGAAAATTTATACATCAATGTAAAAAAGTCGAACATCGAAATAGATAGAATATGCAGAATAGATCCAAAAGCAAGTCGATAAGTCTAAAATCACGACATGTACACGTCGCATTGGAATGTTCCATCTAATACGGTCCACAACATTAATTCTACGTACAGTCTTTTTAAAAGACTCTATGTTGGGTTTGTTGCGTTGGTCAATGCTGGGATGAAACCCTTGTATGAAAGTCATCGAGCAGTGCTAGCATCTCTTAATAATGCTGTACAAGATTAACCTGATTATAGAGGTTTTCTCTTGACCGCCGTGGCGGCTTTGTCGCTGTAAAAACACTGGGATCAGTGTGCTACAAGGTGGTACAACGTTTTAATTTGAAGATACTGAAATTAAGGTTACTTCAAACCTTCGCGGGACTACATTGGTCGATATTGTTTTGGTCAAGAAAATTAAAGTCCGCGAAGCTCAAGTTTGCATACTGTGAACGCTAGGGGTTCTGTTATTTCATTCTTGGCTCGCGGCTTTTCAAGTTGACACATTCCTCTGTGAAGGCGTGATATGTTTATAAATCTTTAGAAGACGAAAACTCGCACTCGTTTTTCGAGAGAATCCCTTCTCTTTAAATGAATTAATAGGGTATGCA